CTATTTTATGTAACTATGGAAGCCGCCAAAGGCAAAACGCAAAAACCAAAAAAAGAGGTTGAATCTTCGATGACTAATTGCCTTTACCTATGGAGCAGCAGTGTCAGCGGGGGGGTACGAAGCATCAAGTACAAGTACGAAGTACAGGGAAATGCGTTCAGTTGCCTAAGCCAATAATCATTTTTGTGTAATAATCGCAAGCAACAAATTGCCTCACTGCTATCTGTCGCACCTGTCAATGGCCCTCCCTTGCTTGACGATGACAAACCCATCCCATCTGTACTCTAATCACTATCCTGTCTAATCTTATCAGGCAATTTTTTGCCAATGCCACTGTGTTTTGGACTGTGGTATGGTTGTGTGGCGTGATAACCGTCTTCACCATAGTAATGGTGTGGCAACAACAAATCAGTTTTCATTGCCTGTTCGAGCGAGCCGCAAGAAAGTGACGCAGCGCAGCAAGAGGCCAAAAGAAAGTTGTGAAAATTCAATTTTCCAGTGCCTCAATGGCACCGCTACGCCTCTGACACTGCTCATTTGATATGTTTTTGATGATTGAGCCTCTGGGTGGCACTGGCAAGTGCGCAATTGTACCCACATATGTACATTTGTGTGTGGAAAATGTTACGATTTAATCATATACACACCCCCACATCCGGCAGTGCAGCGGAAGGAGCAGGTGGGGGGCAGAGTGGCGGTGGCGCAGCAGCTTTTTACGTTTTCCATTTCAACTCACCTATGCGCTGTCCAATTGGAGTGGAGAAAACATTTCCCAGGGCGCCAACGTTGAAGAATGAAGCCATTTTAGTGCGCTCTCTCGCTGTGTATATTTCGTTTTCTGTCTTAACCAATGTAATAACCAGTTTTTGCAATAAATATTATTTACTTTTACACCTGAGAATGTTTATACGTTTCGAGCAGAGTGGCCGCGGATTTATTAATAAGATATACCGTCGGACCCTCATAAATAAACAAAAATATACCTTCTTATATTAAAAATATACTAAAAATATACCGTAGTCTAAAATCAAATTCCTCGATTTCGATGTTCTATTTGATATTACTGGCTTGCAAAGCCTTTTAAAACTGAAACAATAATTTAATCCGATTATAAAATGAATTTTACTTATTATAAATACTCCTTTGATGTTCAGGGATATTCTCTCCTGTGCCTAAACGGTCAGGGAATTCTATCCTGCGTCTAAACGGTCAGAAATATACCAAAATAACCTTCTCATGTTCAAAATATATCGTAAATAATGAGAAAATAATCACCCACAAATATGTATCGATATATTCATATATCGATGTATTTGACATCCCTAGGAAAAGTTTTTGATGGAAAACAACGATTGAACCAACAAATTCTGCCTTAAACTAGGAAATTGGGAATTCTTGCTCTAGTTCGGTATAGTGCGGTGCAATATGGCCGCTTTAGTACTAACCCGGAACATGCAGCTGGCCAGTAAGTGATGCGGCGAGCCGCAAAAAAAGTGCCTGGCGAAAATTATGTAATGATGGAATTTAGTTTCCTTTGCTAACGTTGTTGTTGTTGTTGATTCCCGACTGTAGAACACCATGGCAGTGGTGTCGTGGGCGTGCTCTGCCTTCGGGGCTACGCTGCCACCGCTGAAGATGCGCCACGCCCCCTGAAGACCACCAATCCGGCTGCCATGAAGCGCGGCACGGGCGGACGCAGCAGCTTCAACGGAATCGTGGCCACCGTTTTCGGAGCTACCGGCTTTGTGGGTCGCTATGTGTGCAACAAGCTGGGCAAGTCCGGCTCCCAGATGATCCTGCCCTATCGCGGTGAGGACTCTGAGGTTATCCGCCTGAAAGTCACCGGCGATCTGGGTCAGGTGCTGTTTCACTTTTACAATCTGGAGGATTCCGCTTCCATTCGCAACGCTGTCAAGCACTCGAACGTGGTCATCAACTTGGTTGGCCGCGACTTCGAGACCAAGAACTTCAAGTTCAAGGATGTCAATGTCACTGGCGCTGAGAGGATTGCCAGGTGAGTGCCACAAGGAGGCATATAACCACCTTCAATGATTAATGTTTCTCTCTTGAAGGATCTGCCGCGAGGCTGGCGTAGAGAGATTGATTCATCTCTCGTCCCTGAACGTGGAGGCGAATCCCAAGACCCTGTACGTCAAGGGCGGCAGTGAGTGGCTGAGGAGCAAATACGAGGGAGAGCTCCGCGTGCGTGATGCCTTCCCCAATGCCACAATTATTCGACCGGCCGACATCTACGGCTCGGAGGATCGCTTCTTGCGCTACTATGCACACATCTGGCGTCGCCAGTTCCGCTCGATGCCGCTCTGGTACAAGGGAGAGCGCACCGTGAAGCAGCCCGTGTACGTGACGGATGTGGCCCAGGCCATTATCAACGCAGCGAAGGATCCGGATACCGCTGGACGCATCTACCAAGCTGTTGGGTAGGTATCCGAAAGTACTCCCATGGAAATTCCGCTGTATTCTGTGAGTCCTTTGCAGTCCCAAGCGGTATCAGCTGAGCGAGCTGGTCGATTGGTTCCATCGCCTGATGCGCAAGGATCAGAAGCGCTGGGGCTATCAGCGTTACGACATGCGCTGGGACCCCACCTTCCTGATGAAGGCCAAGCTCACGAGCTTTATATGCCCCGGTGCGCCAATTGGCGGTCTGCACCCGGAACGCATTGAGCGCGAGGGCATCACCGACAAGGTTCTGCCTGGTGTGCCCACTCTGGAGGATTTGGGTGTTCAGCTGACTACCATGGAGCAGCAGGTGCCCTGGGAGCTGCGTCCGTATCGCGCTGCCCTCTACTACGATGCCGAGTTGGGTGAATTCGAGACACCGGAGCCACCCAAGACCATTGAGGCACGCGAGGAGCTGCGCTTGTTTGCCTAATCGTTGTTGGCTTGAGTGTTGATTGGAAATTCTTAGTAAAAACTTGTTTAAGGCGATGCGTCAATAAAAGGAAGTCTACAATTAAAGCTACTAGGAATTCCGTTCAGTTTGAATTACAAGTTTTTAGCGCTTTCGTGGAATCGCAACGGCGCTGCCACTCTTTCGAAAATAGTGACGAGAGCGCACATGTGACAGTAATCGGAAATTATAAACACTCGGCAACACTCTACCGCAACATTAGCGAACAATTTTGTATGGTAATTTTAAATTGGCAACATTCTGTGCAGCATCTGACATAAACTTTTGGTGCACAAAATCAAAACAAAGTTTTCGCGGTGGGGTGGCAATACTGGCAGGTTCCTGAGAGGAAATAAATGGTTTTTCCTTCTGACGGTGAGCTTTTTGCAGCAGTTTTTCCTCAGCCTTAAGCCCGTGCAGATTTATGGCCGGAGAGCTATAGTACGGAAAAGTCGATTGTTCCAATTGTGTGCTGTGCTAAGCAAACATAGTTGCCAGGAAATTGTTCTGTGTAAACCCGTGCGGTGCGGCTTCATTTTTGCTTGTGTTTGTGAGTGAGAGAGTGCAAATCGTGTTTGTGTGTGTGTGCCGGGCACGAAAATGGCAAGTGCATAATTATGCTAACGGATTATGCACAGACGCCGTCGAATGTGTTTGTGAAAAAGCAGGAAGAACCGAATAAGTGTACAGCAGCTGAGAAGCAGCAGTCCCTCCGATCGCCCCTGGCTCATATAGGAATCGAAGAGAGCTGCATCCGTTTCATAACCGACAAATCGATCAGAGCGAAGGGCTGGTCCTACTCCCACCCATCGGGCATAAACGCGAAAATTGTGTGGTGGGGAGAGAAGCCCGAAACAGCAGGCAGCGGCGTCAGCATCATCAGCTGTGACGCCCACGTCCGTGGCAGAGGTAGAAACGGAGACAAAAAGCTCTGCGCAGGCAAACACAGAAATCAGAAGCAAAGGTCAAGTCAGCATCCCGAACAGCAGCATACCAATACTCATACATGCACCACCTATAAATTACGGTACTGCGTACGGAGCAAGAGCCTTGCATTATTTTTAGACCATCTGCGCGAGTGTCCCTCTATTCAAATTGTCGCTGCCGTCAGTGACGTCAGCGACCACGCCTACGATCATCCTCTTGGCAGAGGTACAGCAGCAGCAGCAGCAGCACCACCTACAGCAGCAGGAGGAGCACCACTTGGCCAGACACGTCTGCTCGTGCCGGCGTCACTGTTGCGTAAATACGCCGCCAACTACGTCAATTGCCATTTCGAGCATAAAACCAAAATTTATGCTTTATATCGTCACCTCGAGATCGGTGCCCCGTTCGAACAAGTGCAACAGCAACAGCAGCTGAGAGTCGGTGGGAGTCAATTGCGTTTCAAGATGCTCTTTGCCGAGGCGGCGCCACCCAGCGCTGGACCCAGCGTCATTTCTGCTGTTGCTGCTGCTGAGTCGCCGCCAGCGCCGCCGCAGGATCAGCCGGGAGAGCTTATTGCAGGTGAGTAATGCATGCAGAATGTGCGCGTCTCTGGGTGTATTTTTAAAAGAGAGCAATATAACGGAAGTTGACACTGACGGACAGATTTTTGTTGGTAGCAGCCGTTTCCTTTTCTCCTTTAGTGTTTCAGGAAGTGAGGAAACGAGACAACATGAGAGTTCTCTCTGCATACCCTTTGCTTTGCTATTCAATTTGTGATTAAAGCCGCGAAATTCTGCGCTGCAAGCATTTTATGTCGGCTATCCCTACGTGACTCGACTGTGTCATTAGATGCAGCAGAGTCAGCACTTTGTCCCCCCATTCACATCCGGTCTATATAGCCCTCCGTTTGGATATTTGTTTTCTTTTGGTCAAAGAATGCACTTTTCTCTCTCGTGTTTGCTTCAGCATTTCCTGCTTTGCCAAGATTCTAATTTCATTTCGACTTTTATAGCTGAATTGTTATTTTATTATGAATAACAAACGCGGGAGGGGACCGGGACGTACGGTACTCTTAAATTCGAAAGATTTCTCTGGAACGAACTTGCTTTAAGCTGCTCTCTTACTCTCTGACAGATTTGATTATCCCCGCATAAACCGTTATTATTGGCCTGGCTAAATCGTCATCACTGACATATTTATGGGCTAACACACAAGCAAATTTAGAGCGTTAAAATTGCATTTATGACTAAGGGGTTCATAGCATTTCTCTTGACATTTTTCTCGTTAGTCGGAAACTGCAGGTGGCTCGTAATGTTTCGATCCAATTGGAAGAAACGCCTGCTCAGTGTGATGCCGCAATCGGGTTTCGGGCAGCCGTCTGTTAGCCATGCCCTTATCGTGACATTCCTGCATTACTTCTCTTGGGGCCTGCTGACTGTGCCCTCTATGGTGAAGTTGAGCGAAAAATTTGCGGAGAGAGCCTTCCTCATGGACGGTTTGATCTATGGGATCAGGGGAACGCTGGCGTTCATCGTGGCCCCACTGATGGGTGCCGTCTCCGATATTTGGGGACGCAAGCCGCTGATGTTGATGGCCGTGGTGGCCACCTACTCGCCCATTCCAATGCTAATCATCAAGGATTGGTGGTTCTTTATCACAATCACGATCAGTGGTGTCTGCGGCACAGTCTACTCTACGGTGCTGGCCTATGTGGCTGATGTTACCGCTCAGGAGGAGCGTTCGAAGGCCTTTGGTCTGGTCGCGGCCACATGTGCAGCTGCCATGGTCCTCTCACCTGCATTGGGCAGCCTCCTAATGGACAAATATGGACTCCCTGTGGTCGTATCTCTTGCGGCAGCCATTGGTCTGATTAACATCCTGTTTATATGGGCCGCAGTGCCGGAAAGTCTGGAACATGATCATGCCACAGACACGGCTTACGCTGGAGCACATCCATTCGTGGTTCTGCGAGAGTTGCGCAAGGACAAGACTTTGCTCCTCATCTGCCTGATTGTTTTTCTCTCCACCTGGCCCGAGGCGGGTGAGGAGTCGTCTGTCCCACTCTACCTAACGCTGAATATGGGCTTTGGAAATGTGGAAGTATCCGTGTTGGTTGGTCTTGTGGCAGTGCTCGGCATCATGGCGAATGTGACGCTGGGCCTCGTAATGAACCTCCTGGGAGCTAGGGGGGCCATCATCACCGGCCTGGTCCTGGAAATATGCCAACTTCTGCTGTACGGATTTGGTAGACACAAATGGATGATGTGGATGGCTGGAATAATGGCGGCCACGGGCACCATCACGGAATCCTCCTGCTGCGTCTTTTCATCTATGCGCACCCATCCCCAGAATCAGGGAGCTGTTCAGGGTCTGATCTCGGGCATGATGGACTTATCCGAGGGCCTGGGACCAGCCATCTTTGGAATACTCTTTTATGTCTGCAACCTGGATACGAATGGGCCTCATAAGAGCCAAATTGGGCTACCATTTGTAGCTGGTGCCATAAGTGTGCTACTGGCCCTTATTTTAGCCAAATTAATAGTGGAAGATGTGGACAAGCAAAAGGTATACAAGTCCAATGGAATAGATGACGAAATGAAACCATTGTCGGGAGGAAACTCCATAATCTGTTAAGGAAAAATAAATAAAATTTCTGTTTGAATGTGAATATTTGCTCACCCTGTTAATCACGTAAGATACGGTATGTAGAGCATGCAAATTGATCTTGACTAGACCCTCGGATGCCAGTTAGTCTAGATCTGGACTGCGCCTGAGATGCCAAGAATCGGATGGAAAGTTAGCTCTGGTGTCAGAGCGGCGAGTGTTAATCATGCCCTAATTGTAATATTCTTGGAATACTTCGGCTGGGGCCTGCTGACGATGCCCATGATAGCCACGCTGAAGGAAACCTTTCCGGATAATCCGTTTCTTATGAACGGTCTGGTCATGGGCATCAAAGGTATAATCTCGTTCCTCTCGGCACCGCTGATCGGAGCCCTATCCGATGTCTGGGGACGCAAGGTGCTGCTGCTGGTGACGGTGACATTCACCTGCCTGCCCAATCCGTTGATGTTCATCCACAACTGGTGGTTCTTCGTGATCGCTTCACTCAGCGGTGTCTTTGGGGTGACCGTCTCGGTGGTGCTTGCCTTTGTGGCTGATGTGACAACGCCAGAGGAGCGCTTGAGGTCTCACGGTATGGTCTCGGCGACATTTGCGACTAGCCTAGTGATATCTCCGGCTTTGGGTAACCTCCTGATGAATCTGTTTGGCATCAATGCAGTGGTGCTCTTCGCCACAATTATCTCAGTGATGGATGTGCTGTTTGTTTGGCTGGCCGTCCCGGAGAGTCTGTCCACGAAGGGGCGCACCAGCATCAGCTGGAAGCAAGTGAATTCCTTTCGGATAATGCGGCGCTTGGACTCTGATATCCTGATTCTGTGCCTCATCGTCGAGCCAAGCGATCGATCCTCGTGGGCTTAGGATTGAATATGCTGCAGCTGCTCCTGTTTTCTTATGGCTCGGATAAATGGATTTTGTGGATGGCGGGCCTTGTCGCCGCCCTGGGATCCATTAGTTTCCCGGCGTTGTGCGCATATGCTTCGATATATTACGACTCGGAGAGCCAAGCAGCGGTGCAGGGCATGATCATTGGGTTATCCAGCCTATGCAATGGCCTTGGACCCGCCGTGTTCGGTATTACCTTTTATCTCTCCGACATGGTCCAAAGTGATGGTCTTCCCGCGAATAAAGACAACTTTCAGCAGCATACTGTGGCAGCTCCCTTTATGTTCGGGGCCTTCTGTGTGCTCATCGCCATTCTGGTGGCAATCGTCATGCCCTCGGGACAGGAGTCAAAGGGGAAGAAACCTAATTTTTCCAAGATACAGGATGTGATTTAATTTTTTAGCTAAGTCCCCATATCCATCCAGAATTAAACAAAGATTATACTTAGAATTTTTTGTTCGCGATGGGTTTCAGTGGGTTAACGTTTAGTTGTAGTCGTCAACAAATCAGCCAATCGGTCGATCTTCTGCCTCTCAGTCGACGACCGCTTCTGTTTATTTTGCATTTTTTTTGTTGTTTTTCCTTTCCCGACATTTTCATTTTATTTATATATAAATACTGCTATAAATTTGCTATTTCAAAACAGAAAATTCACGACAGTTTGTTGACTCTTACGTAAGAGCGAGTCGGGGGTTTGTTTTGCTCCTCTTTGAAACCCAACATTTGGCAAAATGTAATTTATTAACAATTGCTGCTGTTCCCGAAATAGTCTCAGATCTATCCAATCACTTGGCATAAAAATACATAAACTTTTTCTTTTTCGATTAGTATCTTCTATTTTCTGTTTGACAGGGGCCCAAAAACTTTCCATTGGGAAGAGCAAAGCAAAGAACCCAAAGATACACATGTATGCACATAAGTACATATGTTTGTACACATGTACATATGTATGTACAAGCGAAGAGAGAAACAGCGCCATAAATATCACGAAATAGTGTGATATACAAAACACGTGCGGCACATACACATGTACAAACTAGGAAGAGAGAACGGTAGTGTGAGTGTGAGAAGAGAGACTCTCAGGCGACGTATGAATATTATTTAATGGTAATCCAGGGGCGCACTAGACAATCAGAGGGTGTAGCTGTGGCATCCTTCCAGCTTCAAGTAATCAAAAATGTAGCAGTTTTTAGTTGTTAATTAACTTTTTATGTAAATAGTTCACCTCACGGATTTTCCGTTCCAGCTATGCCATTTATAGCTACCTTAACTCCGCTCCTGCCCATCGAAGTCCAGAGAGCAGAGAGGAAACATAACATTTATCACACTTTATGTTTTCAAGCTTAATTCTCTGCACTTTGTTGTTGTTTCTCTTTCGCGTTCTGCTTTGTGGCAAAAGTTTAGCAGAGCAGCGTCGTTGCCGGCTACGTCTGGGGTTTTTCTGCCATTGGCCTTCAATTCTGCGGAATGGGACGGGAATTGCTTATCCACCCAGAAAAACATATTGTACATACGAATCTACATCTGTATAGAAGCCTACAGGCAAACATAAATATGCGAAACAAACATGATTCAAAGTGGAATAGAGGAGGGGAAGCATACATGAGAGAGAAAATAACAGTTTTCGTTTTCTCATTTACTGCATTGCTGATACTTTGTTGTTACACGAGCACAGGCTGGAGCACGGTGGGATGGGCATATCGATAAGCCTTGCCTTGATTGGCAAGGGGGGAGGAGACTGTGCCCCATCTCACTTTCTTTCACACTCTTTCATTCCTCAGCTAATGCGAATTTCTATGGGTTTTAATTATCGCTGTAAATGTTCCCTGATGTCAGCGAAAGCTGAGTGGAATAAAACGGTTGCAGAATTCCCTAGTCTACCCTCTACCAATCTGTTCCAATTATGTCATTGAACCTGATGCCAGAGCAACTCTTATCAATTATCTTGGAACCAATCGAAAATTCGCGTGTTACCAAGCGGGGAAAGCGGGAAGCCCTGATAGCCTTTTGACCTTTCTAGTGCGGATTACAGTTTGTGGTGCATGGCAGCACTACGGCGTATGAGTTTTAGTGGATTTTGCCCTTGAATTTATGGCAAATTTTACTTCCTTTGTCACTGAACTTTGCCAATGCCAAAATGTATGCACAAAATTTATATGGGTCTGGTTTTGCTTTTGGCTAGGCGAAAAGAGAGAGGAGTTTTGTGGACTGTTTTGTCTGTTTCTTAATGCTCTACCAAAGTGGCCATCCATATATGTACATCTACTTGATACATCAAAGTTGTCTTCTCAATAGAGTTCATGGAAAAATTGACAAAAAGTATAAGCAATATTATTATCAGATCAAAATTAATATAAAATTGGGAAAAATAAGACCTCAAAGGGTATTCAGAGTGCGTGGTAGCCGCTCTCTGCAGAACTAATGCGCGAGAGCGGGAGCCAGCCGTATGACCACGTGAGAGCGGAATAGAGAGAAATGCCAAGCAAAGCATAGAACTCGATTACGCGGTCTGTCTCCCTTCCACACTCTGCCGCTGTCACCAACGCCACCATCAGCTTTGCTTTGGTTTCGAGACCGGGACTGTCACACAATCCACATTTCGAAAGCCCACGTCGTGGAGATCGGTTTTGTTTCCGCTGCAAAGTACTGTAAATCCACAGAAAACATGTGATCCGAGAGAAAGGAAGAAAACTCACGATTTAAATTTCTAATCTTTCAGGCACCACCAACAACCTTGAGCTAATGGAGGCCATGAAGAAGCTGGACGCGGGTCTGGTGGCTCTCTTTGCCACCGCCGCCGCTGAGCCCTTGGAGCAACTGAAGAAGCAGCAGGCACTGTGGCCGGAGCCGGAACTCCAGCTGCAGCAGTCCACTGCTGAGACGGAGCTGGTCATCACGCCGGAGATCTTCCAGCGGTGCAATGCGCTGCAGCTGCACCTGGAGGCGGTGACACTGCAGCCGGAGGGCACCCATCGCATGGAGTTGCTGCAGAGCGAAGTGCGTCCCATTTTCACCGTGGAGTGCCAGCTGTCGGAGGATCTGATCAAGTCGGTGGCCCGCTACCCCATGTTCCACGTGATGCAGTTCGAGTCGGAGAAGTTCCAGAGCCTGACGCAGTGCACCCGTTTCGGTCAGACGCAGACGCGCGAGGTGCAGCTGGCCTGGAAGGACAATGAGGACATGGGTTATGTGGATCTGACCATTTGGTGGCGTGAGCCGGGCACCTGTCTCAACGAAATGCTGGGCATGGGCCGGCTGCACCTCAGGGAGCTGTACGAGGCCTCGCTGCTGGAGCAGTGCAAGTGCGTGGCCGTAAAGCGGCGCGACGTCCACCTGGGCAGCATCTATGTGAAGATCAGCCTGCGCTTTGACGAGCAGCTGGCGGCCAGGAGCCTGGCCAACAAAAATATCTCGAATACAGCTTGCCAGAAGCCGAACCAAAACCCAAAGCAGATTCCCAATCTGAATCAGAACCAGAACGAAAGTGGCACCAATAGTGGCAGCACCAATCAAGCAGCAACCGCCCCAGGTGAATATATATGACTAATGTCGTGTGGCTGCCACCTACAACAGCAAGAGCAGATCCCCAAACAACAAAAACAACAGCCAATAAAACCAGAACAAATCGATTATCACACGCACCACCACCACGACCACCACCATACAGCTGCCACAGCGACACCACTCCTCCGCCTCCTGCAAATCCTCGACACATTATTGGCCGCCGCCATTGTACAAGTGCTGCCCAACATTCTGTTTCAATTATTAATAAGCAATTTTCATTTTACCTGCGAAAAAGATGCAAAAAAAAAGAAACCAAAACAAATCAAACAACAACAAACAAACAATTTTCTTGTGTTTTATGTTTATTTTGTTCACATATTGTATTTATTCAGTTTTGCAGAGCTTTTGTTGTTTTAGTTAGGTACACGTAGACACACAGATCACAAGTAGCTGAGAGGAACAAATGGAAATGTTTGAACTCGTTAAACTAAATAGGCACTTATAGAGGAGGATTTATAGAAATTCCTCAATATTTTCCACTGTGCCAGACAGAAATTCAGTTCTAGTTAATAGTTTTCCGTTGCCCAGTGTCCGATGTCCGTTGTCTGCTCTCCGATTTCCAGTTGGGCACGTGCCATAACCGATTTGACCCGGTTCTACCCGCTTGCTTGCTTCGAAGCCCTGACCGACTGTCGTCGAGGCGATAAGACGCGATCGAAGCTGATTCAGATCTTTATGCTACAATCGGGTTGGGGTTGGGGGATCAAGGTCCGTTGAACTATGACTAATCTGTAGGTTGCTAATCGCATCCTGGTCTTCTGCCGCTTTCTTACAGTTAACAACAATTCAAAGGAAGCTCCGACCCCGCCTCAACCACCGCCACCACCTCCGCCACCCCCTCAAGCAAACAACAACAGGAAAGCCTCACTGGCCAGCGTGAATTTCATGGCAGAGACAACTAAGGTCCGGCTGCTGCGAGGCTACATCTACGCGGGAGAGCTGCAGCAATTATCCCCAACAGACTTGAACGCCTGCCAGGAGCTCTCACTGCAGCCGTTCTGGCAGCCACAGCCTCTGGTGTCTAAGCTCAACGATGTGGGATCGTTCCAGCTGCAGGAGCAGTTCGCCGTCATCAACGATGAGAAGTTTCTGCTGAGCGTTGATCGTCAGCAGCTGGTGTTGGAGCTGCGTCCACTGGGCGGACTGGTGAGACTGCCGCTACATCAGTTCTACATTGCCTATAGGGACGCCAGCATAACCAATCATTTGTGCAAGGGAAAGGTAAGAGAGCGCATCAGATTGATCATCAGATTTGTCTACAAATGTCGTTTATTTGCAGCTACCCGTCATCTCCATCGATGGCTGGGCTCCCATTGTACATCCGCAGACGCAGGCGAAGCTGGGCGAGCTCAAGGTGCTTCTTGCCATTGGCAGTGAGTCTCAGATTGCCCAATTGAAGCAGCAGCGTGGCTTCGATCAGGACAACAATCAAGTGCCGACGACCAGTCGCACCACAGATTTGCTGGACATGTTACAGAATGCACTGACTGCGCCTCCACCACCCGCGAAAGCTATTGACATTGGGTCAGGTCCGAGTACTACTCGAGCAGCTCCCTCCGCAGCCAGCAAATTTAGTTTCGACTTGCACATTGTGGGAGCAGCAGGATTGCCTCTGAATCCCGGCTATGGCAAATCGGGCAAGAAGCAGGCCAAGCGCCAGGCGGCGGCCAAGCAACGATTCCCACCCAACGAATCGCCCAACACCTATGTGACCTTCCAGGCCCTGAACAGCAACAGTCCAACCTACAAGTCGCACGAGGGTCTCGTCTATGCCACGCCCGTTGTGGAGAAGTCCACCACACCGCAGTGGAGGACCAAGTTCCGGGTGGAAGTGGGCACGGATTACCTTAGTAATGTGAGTCCAAAT